TTACCGACGAATGAGAAGTTTTGGCTTGTTTTCATACCGGCCCCACTGGTCCTCCCTTTAACTCGAAAACACCGACGTAATCGCCTTGAGTGGTGTAGACAACGGTCACTCTGGGATCAGGAATGGAACAGCATTGTCTTTAGTGACGAGTCTCGATTTTGTTTAGGCATGCACGATGGTCGTGCCAGGTTTAGATGGCGACGTGGTGAAAGGAGGAATCCACAGTTTTTTGTTGAAAGACATGTTCATCACACTGTTGGAGTTTGGTTTGGGGTGCTATAGCTTATGGTTCCAGGTCACCTTTAATCTTCATCAGAGTAACATGAACGCGCAGCGTTATATCCACGAAGTTCTAGAACCCCATCTTTTACCCTATCTTGACACCCTGGCAAGTCCAACTTTCCAACAAGATAATGCCCGACCACAAGTTGCAAGAGTCACAATAGACTTCTTTCAACATAATGATGTCACATTGTTACCATGGCCACCAAGATCTCCCGACTTATCCCCAATTGAGCACGTGTGGGATATGATGGGTAGGAGATTGCTCAATTTGCAACGTCCTCCTCAGACTCTAGAAGCACTTCGAGAGGAGTTGGTGGTTGCCTGGAATGAGATACCACAGGAAGACATTGACCACCTGATCGGAAGCATGCCTAGGCGCGTTGGAGAATGCGTAGCACATCAGGGTGCATCCACATATTATTAAAGGTCAAAGGGCTTTAAAGCAGTGCAATCATTTTGAAATTTTTATCATTTACTTATTATGCTTCATTAAGTACTTATACAAAATTTTATTAAAATAAAACCATTTAAACTGGGTGTTCGGATTTATATGTCACTTAGTATATAATTTTGTATTCATCTGAAATTGATTGGAACATAAATGCTTATGTTGTGTTAAATTAATAGCGATAAATATATTAAATATTGAATTCATATTACATCACAGTACTGTTACATATAAAGTGATTAAATTCAAAAATTTTCTAATACGGAAATAAATGATTTCAATATGCTTAAAAAATGTGAAATAAAAAAAGTATTTGAAAACATAAGTATCAATTTTAAATGAATTAATAAAAGTAATTATTGATAGAAATATAACCTTGTAGTGCTAGGTATCGATTGATGTAAGCCAAGGCATAGTTGTAGGCTAGGTCGTTATCATTTAAGCGTCGTATATAATCTTCAGATAAATGATATTTAAATTGTTCCCACAATGCTAATGGATTTTCGATTTCACAAAACAGCAACATCTGTGAAAACATACGACGAAGAGCTCGTGGAAGTTGTACGTGTATAGCTTCTTGCAACATGGTGAACCAAATACTATCATCCGTGAGAAGGTTCATCGCAATAGCAGCGTCACGGAACGTTTCGTAGAGTTCGAACGCTCTTAGAATATGACCGCTACGTCATCGTGGGCGGGTCCGCTCATCACGCGGTCGTCGATAGAGCGCAGTGGCGTTCTATTTTATTTGAAGTATAAAATAAAGTGAATAGGTTGTGTAGACATTGATCATTAATTGATTTTTGTATTATTATATTATTTAGTATGCGCATTAAGTTTTTCGGAAGCAAATTTGAATTAGAAGAGGGAGCAAACTAAAGACGGTTATAATTCAAATTATATATTATCATTAAAAAATCTAATCGCTATCAGATGATAGTGTGTTTAGCTCCAAATCTTCATCTGAGTCGCTTTCGTCACTATCTTCTGATGATGACCCTGTGTTCACAGTGAACTGATAATTATCCATTTGATCGTCGAGACGATTTTCTTTTTCCATTTGTGCTTGCTCATATTTTTTCACGTGGTTACAAATTTTCTTCCACTCATCTGCTCCAATTTCTTCAAACCTGCTACGGGTCAGATGCTCCACATCAGACAACCTAAATGTCACATTTCGTGGAGCAACCCAGTTTTTTACGAGAGCCCAAATCTTCTCGATTGGGTTTAGCTCCGGATGATATGGAGGCAGTCGTAAAACTTTATGCCCGTGCTGTTCCATTAAGGCATCTAGCTTGTATTTGACTGGAAATTTTCCTGTATTTTTTATATAGTTCGGCCTTAGTCAATGAGTTTTCACTAGGAATTTGATGTTTTTCTAGCCAGTCAATCATCTCTGATTTCAGGCTAGAAGAGGTTACATTTTTTTCTTCCAGGACATTGTGATAAGAAGCGTTGTCAACTACAAGCACAGAATTTTCAGGCAAATTTGGGATCAATTGGCTTTCTGCCCATTTCATGAAGTTCAAATGATTCATGTCGTTGTGGTAGTCCCCAGATTTTGAGCCTGAAAATAAAATACATACATATATTCCAGTAAATGTAAAAATATATTGGAAATATTTTACATCATTGTAACACAAATAATACCTGATTTAAATATCAACAAGGCGTTAGGAATAAAGCCGAATTCTCCACCAGCATGCACAATAATCATTCGTTGTCCTTTTGATAAAGGCGTTTTTAGTTCCTTGTCATAATTGTCATCTGACCATCCTTTTTTTGGGGTATGACTAGAATGTATATATGTTACATCCGTATAAATTATGTTCCTGTTCTCAGCTCTATATTTCATAATTTGCTTCAGATATTCGATACGCTTCAAGCGAATTTCATATTTTTCCATGAGAGCTTTTTTATTTTCAGTAGTTCTTTTCCATCTGTAGATATAAATTATATTTATAGCGTTGTAAATCAAAAACTTTATAGTGTTCGTTCAAAGTCGTTATTTTACCCTCAAAATTGAGTTGTCGATCTTGCATTTTTTGGTAAATACCTAAAAAATCTTAAAATGAAATATGACTAGATGCTACGGTTACAATTTAAAAACTTACATTTCAGCGAAGGTCTTCTTTTCTCCCCAAATATAAAAATCGATATGATTGCTTTCATTTCTTCAATTTAGCCTGCAGTCACTTTATCCACAACAGGTGATTTTCGTTGCCGCTTTTTAGATGGGGATGAAAATGAAAAGTTGCTTGAATATATTCCATCTCTGCTCTCTTTAGCTATTTTTTGATAAGTACATTTACTTATACCCGTGGCAGCTAACACACGTTTCCTAGATGGGTTAATCAGTTTCAATTGACAATAATTATAAAAATCTTTTACATTCATACATACCGGTATTGTTGAAGTGGAAACTTTAATCCCTCTACACTTTCCTGTACCATGAAGTTATTGACATTGTTGATAATTTCCTTTCCTTGACTCCCAATCGCCTTTCCTTTCACGCCAATCTCTTTCACAGACATTGTTTAGATCACTGGTTCAAAACTATTAATAATTTAAATTTGAACAATAGTAAAAATGTCCACTATATTGCAATCTATTTGACAATTTTTACACACGGTGCCTTGTTCAAATTAGTTTACAAACTGAACTTATGACTAACGGACAGGTTTAATATCTGTTGCAGGTAAAATAAATGTGATTAATTAACACTCATCGTCTTAACGCTACTTACGAACAAAGGGATTTAGCAACCGGGAATTATTCCAGGTAGTTCAATTTTACACTTGTTATTATTAGATTTGTTTCTACTAATTTTGTTTACCTACGTTTGATATTGGTATTAGCCTATTTATCTAGGTACTAATGATGCACTCTAGGAAATCTCATGATTGGTATAGATATAAGCGGATCACAGTCTTAGGATTAATTTAATTACTTTCAGTTGTTTGCCAACTTTGGGGTTTTACCCTTCAATAGTGTGTCTATTATATGTAGGTACCTGCTCACTATTTTATATTTTGATTTATGGATCTCCATCAAATATCCACAAACCCCATAAAATTAATAATTTTCAACACAATCAAATATAAAATATGATATGGTTAATAAATAAAAAAATAAATAAATCGAACAAACGTCTCATTAGATCGCAATTGTGTCAACAATCTCAACTGACTGAAACTTGCGTATCTACATACTAAAAAACGTTCCGCCTATGGCTTACTGAGAGTGGGATGTCCCTTAACAGCCTCAACAACAACATAATTTCTGGACATTGAAGACCACATACATTTTTAAGCTTTCTACGATATAAATATTCGCCACGATTAGAACTGGACCACATTAAGAGGGCGGTAACAGATGTCCATAAATCTTACCAGAGACTGTCACAACAATTTCCTATATTCTTATAGGGTACAATAGACGCAAGGGAGAGGGTATAAAGTGATGACGTAGCGGGCATAACCTTAGGCTGTTCGAACTTTTTTTTTTCTACGTACGGCCATGTACAGTACTAATGTCTTCGAATGATCTACATCCTGTTTTATGCAAAAGACGTTGACGAAGATAAAATCTTTCACCTTCTCTAGGATGTACAAAATATAATCTAGGAATTATACGATTAAAATGACGTTGACGTTCTACCCAGATTCTTGTTTGTGTTATTTTCCACACATAGTTATAAGGTATCTGTACGTATGTGTATTGTCTAGCTTCTTCATCTTGGGTATTTAAGGCGAACCATCCTGTTAACGTAGTGTGTTGTGTTGCGGCCCTTTCTACGACGTCAGGAATGGTACTATTTGTATTAAAATAGACTTGTTGCATATTCGGAAGATGTACAAAGAGTTTAATAATAGCATGAGACATATCGTGCATTTCGAATGTATAAATCCTCCACATCGCCTCAGGCGCGCTAACATAGCGAACGTCCAGAAACATTTGAATTTCGTTGTACATAGGTTCCTGGATAGTTGTTGTTTGACCGTCTTCTTCCACGGTTCGTACGACAATTTGAGCTCTATCAAATCCTTTGTATATATATTTAAGTAAATATTTTACGCTTTTCATTGAAGAGCAAGCCTCCACGTTAATGTGAGCTTCGTATTTTTCAAGTAGATAAGCGTTATATGGTACAACCCAACTATTATCTACCGTTCTTCGACCTATATGTATAGGTGTTTCTATTGGCCGTCTTTTATATAACGGATATCCAGAGGGATTGTATAAGGTATCTTCACGCAAAGATTTCGGGAATTGTTTGCTGCAATATCCTTCTTCATCTAAGCATCGAGCACTGGTACAAGGTCCATGAAGCATATGTACTTTGACCAATTCGTGCAAGTTGGCATGCGCGATAGGGTCGGGAAATTCTGCTGAAATTAAACGGTCGATTGCTGCAGGGTCCAACATATGCGCATGCGGAAGTCCTCTTTTCTGAAATTCTATTACGTAAACGTAAGCAACATAAACTCCCATAATATGTCGTTTATCAATATCTTCTATTAATTCCTTTAATTTGCTCTTGAACACTCTGGATACAAAATTAGGTCTATTTGAGGATGTTGATTTGCATCTAAGTTAATTTCCTGATTTCAGGCCATGCAGGATTGCAAGTAAATGTTAGGGAAAATATCTGGTTTCCCGTATTTTGTGACTATAGACATGCATCCAAATAGTTTTGTCTAAATGCGCGTGGACTTTCCTATGATGTCGACGGTAGGATGAAAATATTTCCTGGTTGATAATGAAACATCTAATTGTCCTAGAGTCTAAATAGTCGATTAATCTCCTTGAAAATATTTCTTGCCTAATACGTGGTTGATTTCAGTAATAAAATTGTAGTCGACTTTGTTCGATTTTTACGTATGCATCTACGATGTACTGTTGTGTTAGCTTGCCTGCCATTACAAATTGGTTGAAGGTATTTGGTCGAACAGCTATTCTGAAACTATAATATTCCAGTAACGATATATAGCCTCTTCTATATTGATGTGGTGTTCTAGACTGCCATCCTGCTTCACCTCTTGGATGTAATAGAGGATAGGTCATTGCATCGCAATTGACACTAAGATATGGTAATTTGGGATAGTCTGGTCGTTGTCTCGACAATAACATGTAAGCACGATCCAGGGGCGGTCTCCCATCTTCAGAAATAAATACGGCTTGCTAGTTCATTGGCCTGTACCCGCGCCATATTGTCTGAAATTGATATCTCGAGCACGGTTGTTATTGATGTACAATTCCAATGTTGGATGACGATTGCTTGTTGTTGTTATTGATAGACATCCTTAAGAAATCTATATGCTTGAGCAAATGGATTGTGATTGTACAAGTAATTAGAGATGAGGTCGACGATTTCTCGATTTAATTCTGCTCGATTTTGTGGACCAACAGACCGAAGTGGATTTGCCAGTTCAGTTCCAAAAAATATAAATTGCCATATTGTCTGTGTTCATTTGAAATATTAGTCGAATATTTGATATATGATGTCTTATTTCTCCTGTACCTGGAAAGAAAAGCAAATTCATTATAAAAGGGATAAAAAAATTTATTAATAATATAATTGATTTAAAAAAAATGAAATAATTGGTTTCTAATGTATATTGTTCTTTGTATGTGGATAAAATAAATAGCATTGTAGAAAAAGGTAAAACAGATGAACGATATGAATTATATATATATATATGTATATACAGGGTGTCCGCAAAGTTGGGGTTTTCCCTTTCAGAAACAACTACCCTTGAAATAACAAAGGTAATGTGTAGTGAAACGAGGGCGACCAAGTAAAAAAAATAAAGGAAAAAGTACTCACTCTCCAGTTTGACGAGAAGGGCTAAGTACGGTCTCTGCCCGAAATCATACCGCTCCAACAGAAAATGAAATCAGCTGAAGCGCTACCGAGCAGACGCAGAAACCACATTGATTGTCTTACACTTAACGGCACATCTTCTAACAAGGAAGGCAAAATGTTGCGTAATTGCGTGCGAATTTTCTACTGACCAAACATGAGTGTTGCGAAAGTTATTCACCCCATTACGCGTGAACGTAGATTCGTCTGTCACCAATATGCACTTCAAAAGGTCCGTATTATTGTCATGTTGATGCAACAACCACTCACAAAACCGCACTCTTGCTGGAAAATCGTCAGGTTGAAGGGCTTGTACACGTTGGACGTGAACGGATAGCCCCTCTTCACGCAGCGTTTGCCACACTTTAGCTTGTGATACTTGCGCTCTCTAGACACGTCTCTAGAGATTCTCGTCTACGCGATTACCTCTACATGCGTGACCGTAACCACCGGTTGAAGGTTGCATACTGACCTGACACACTGACCCCGAACCAGTTCTGCCGTCGCGTTGAGACCTTGTACCAATCTTGTCCCGGGTCGCGGCTACAGGACGGTATTCAGATATTTTTGATGTTGCAGAGCCCTTTATCTCGGTTCCCCTTTGGTATATATGGTACTAAGAAAAATTTGCTTATGTTTCAAGATCTACACGTCGTGTAAAGGAAAACCCCAACTTTGCGGACGCCCTGTATATGTATATATATATATTACTTCTTTTCGATAGTGATAAGAAATTAATTTAAATAGTTAAAAAAGATTTTGTGTTAATATCTCATATTTATATAATATTTTCATCTTTGGTGTCACAGTCTGTTATGATTAAATGGTAGGGTTTTTAAGAACTTATCTATACAGAATATGTGAGTTGATGAAAAGTATATCTTGAAAGTATTTTGAAATATACCAGGGTATTTCGAAAAGGTGTGAGAGTTGATATTTAATCTAAAACTTGTTGACCAAGCACTTGAAGGGAAGAGGTTGTAAGACGCGCGACCAGAGAGGAAAAGTACACCGTATTTCTTTGGTTAAAGTGTATATAGGTCAAAATTAAAATTCCACGACTTGGCTTGGCAGGTCCTATATCAGATTGGGCTTTTTTTCTGGGAAAGTACCTATAGAGGTATGAGACTTTGTGAAATTTTAGGATTCTAGATCGAATAATCCGGTTTAATACGCGCTTGGAGTTTGTAAGTCAAAATGTAAATTTTAGCGCTTTAGCAACATTTCAATTTCTCGGGGCAAACGAAAAGGCATGTTATTCTTTATAGGTTCGCTTCAGCAACAATTGAACGCAATATGAGCCGTGAGTCGTTTTATAGAATCATGGGAATTGTCAATTTTGATTTGAAACATCGAAAATTGAATCCAAAGTTTTTCTGATCATGTAAATCGTCCATTACGAATTTATATATAAGGGTTAACTGCTATATGGAAAAATAGTTTTGTGATTTTTTTGTTTTGTAACGTATTCTAATTGTCTACCTAATAACGAACCAGTCAATATTGCGAAAAAAAAATATTTGATTGAAATTTTTGTCCAAGAAATCATTATATAGCAATTTTAAGATATTTTTTTTTTGGAGTTCGGTCCTGCTTACCGAGTCAGTTAGTCTATCTGATAGTGAGCTCGTGAATTTACCATATTAAAAGTGAACCATAACACAAACAACTTTCGACTTGCTACCATATAGTGCAAATCACGAACCAGGACGCATTGTGGAGTAGGAAAATATTGTGCTATATACCGAAGACATACGTAAATCAGTGGATCAATTATTCAACATTCCAATCTCAAGCGTTCGGAAAAAAACGCGTCCAGAATTTGGACCTCGAAAGAACAGGTACGTATTCAGAAATGATATTTTCCCTTACTGATATAAAACATTAGCAACAATGACATCAACACCGATTAACCAACCCACACACTATTCCACAATTCTAACTACATATAAACATCCAACTAAAGAACAAGCTATAGTTTTCAATTCCATAGACGGAGGAAGAATACAAGATTACTTGCTCCAATTAGGACCAATGATTGACCCGAAGAACATTTGTTTTGCTCGAGAATTTCCAATAACAGAATTTGCATATACCTCTCCAGCAAGGAATTAGTAAATAAATTCGTAGAGAACCCAGGGGAAATTGTAATACAAGGAGAAAAATTAAGGCCCGTAAATTAATTTCACCATCGGACAGGTTAGTGCTATCGAACGTCTGCTCAACAATACCACACGCAGTTTTAAAGGAAAAACTACAAGACCTAGGCTTGAAATTACTATCTTCCATAACATTTTTGAGAATCGGAGCAACAGTACCAGAATACAATCACATATTAAGCTTCAGGAGGCAGGCATGTTATATGCACTCAAAACAATGGACTTACTATTCCATACAATGTTGCACCAGACGCTAGCTCAGCAACAGATAACGACTTCTCGCTAACTCGTTGTTTACGCTTTTATTTCTAGAGGTGCTTTGTAAGCACAACAATAGTATATAATAGGCCTTGCGCCCGTTCATGTCGTTCATTACCCGGCTAGGCACGTAACAGTCACTTATGTCAAACTCCGTAAATGTCACATTTGTAAACTTTGTATGTTTATATGGACTGAAGGTTCAGTCCTCAAATAAATTTTTTTAAAAAGTTATTTCTAAATCTAATGATTTAAGAGGCTATATTACAACCTCTCGAATCTAAACCAAATACCTGAGTCCATCGAAATCACTCACGATAGTCTATCATATCGCATCTTCTTATCGCTAGACAGTCAGAAATGTTTTTAAATGTAAACTTTCTGGTCATATTGCTTCACATTGTCCTTCTGTAAACAACACACCACTGACAAATAACAGCAACACACCATATAGTCAGCCCGAAATCCCAGCCACCGAAAACCACTCAAAGCATAGAACAGAATCATAGCAAAACCAACAGTTTTTCTCCCTTCATCTCAACCAAGCAACAAGGAAATACAGTACCGACATCCAACACCTCACATGAACCCCAAAGCGTAAACATTCAGTAGCAGGCCAAAACAAATATAATAGATAAAGCACCCAACAAAAGACCCATTTCAAATATTTAAAACCTCCAGCAGCAAATACACCTAACAGTCCTACGTTCACTACTCCAAGAAACATTAACACCAAAAAGCATCAGTCGGAAACTGGACCGTGATCATCCAAGACGATGCTTTTATCTCCAGTTTAAAGCATTATAGACAGCCATACCCCACCACTTGCGTTAAATTGTGACCAGCTCAAGAGTTTACTGGAAAACACGCATGGGTACAAGACATAACAAATATCTCATAACTGTATCTGGTATCTATTATCTGCTATGTGTTAATCTGGTTATCTGTTATGTGTTATCTGGTATCTGGTATCCGTTATCCGTTATCCGTTATCCTTCATCCGCTATAAGTTATAGCTCATCCTTTATCTGATATCTGGTATCAGGTATCTGGTATCTGGAGCCTGGTGTCTCGTATCTGATATCTGGGATCTGGTATCTGGTGTCTGTATCTGTTATCAGTTGTCAGGTGTCAGTTATCTGTTACCTGTTATCTGTTATCTTTATAAGGTTATCAGTTTTCATTTTTCATTTTTCATTTTCATTTTTCATTTTTTTCATTTTTCATTTTCATTTTTCATTTTTCATTTTCATTTTTCATTTTTCATTTTTCATTTTTCATTTTTCATTTTTCATTTTTCATTTTCATTTTTTCATTTTTCATTTTCATTTTTCATTTTTCATTTTTCGTTTTTCATTTTCCATTTTCCATTTTTCATTTTTCATTCATTCAGATTTCAGTTTCATTTTTTAGTTTTCAGTTATCAGTTTATTTGTATCTGTTACCTGTTTCCTTTTATCTGTTACGTTTTATCTGTTATCTGTCATCTTTTATCTTTTATCTGTTATAAGTTATCTGTTATGTTATATGTTACCACCTGTTACCTGTTACCATCTGTTACCTGTTACCATCTGTTACCTGTTACCACCTGTTACCTGTTATCTGTTATCTTCCATATAGCATTGAAAATATCCTGTATAAAATTGTATAACAGACTCAGATTTATGTGAGATGCCGGCAACGTCGCATGTGTTGTTGTTAATACCATACATGGCGTTATAAAATCTTCCATATAGCATTAATGCTCTCTATAAAATTGTATAGCAGACTTAGATTTATATGAGGATCCGTCGCATAAATAGCTACCACACGACTTGCAAAAAATGGCGCTTGACACTGACATATGTCAACCGTGTTCGTCTATGGATAGCAGTGGACTATGCTTTCTTCAGTGTATATGTTTTCTGTTTTGTAATGTCAATGTCATTGTCATAGGTAATTTTTTCTAACCTGGAAAATAAAATGTAATACTATTTTGTTTAAAATTCAATAACTACCCTAATGTGAGATGATGTGCATCTACGTATACAACATAATGAAAAGAATAAATTAAGATTCTGAAAGTTAATTCCTAAATATCATAGTAAGGAAATCCGTAAAACTATCAAAAAAGTAAACATAAACACCTTGAGAAAACTTATTCCTTATCATGTGGTTAAAGTGGAGTTTAAAACAATTTTTGTAGAAAATAAGGCCGTTAGTTTACAAGCAGGTATGTAACTGAGCGATAATGTGTGGGTATGGTGCTTATAAAAAATGCTGTATTTTAGATATCATTGCTATTCAATATGGAACTTTTGTCTTATTGTTACTATTTATTGCAGGAGACAGTTTGAACCAGGTCCTGGTTCATCTTATGTAGTTGTCATTTTGTGGATAGGAAAAAAACAAAATTGACCTACATTGTTTAGGGGAGAAGCAATTGAACTTTCCATCGCCAGAAAGAAGAACCCGTAAAAGACCATTGATAAACTTTTAATATCTCAACAATGTGAAAATTGAACTCTATAATATGTTACTTCAAATTGGGGCCCTTTAAGGGATGGTATGTAAAATTATGTGATCTGCAGAAATAAAAATAGTTTTCCCAGTAAGGAGCATACTGTTGATTATAATTTTTGTCATTAGCTTTTTTAGATACAACACATGGCATCATAAATTATTTTAATGTAGAGTTCAGTACTCCAGCTATAACAGGGTAGTCCCTCGATCTTTTCAAAGCTATTCAACAAATATGTACTTCTATGAGGTTGAATTGAAAAAAAATTGAGAAAGCAATCTTGTATTGCGTTTCGTATAGGTAACTTTCACTCCCCTGGCAGGCTTAATCTAAGCGATATCACAAATATGTCTATACCAAGTTACGATTATACTGTGCAAGAGTATTTATCTTACAAATTTTGACAAGTAATGGTGTCTGTTGTTTTGACAAGTCCTTAAAGCAGCTACATTCTAAATCGAAGTACATACATTCTGCATTGAGATCAAATAAACAACTCAGTGGCTGTGAAAGTCTTAGTCATTTTGAAAACTTTGGTAGTAGATATGATTATCAATGCTATTTTTCAGCGCTTTGCATATTCCTTCATCTGCTTGATAATATGTGCCATCGAAGGGATAGATCCTCCTATGTAATAGAGAATTCTATAATAATGTAGCACTGTTAGCCAGCTAATAGGTCTACATATTTAGATAAATTGAACTGAGGGTCAAGACTGAACTCTTACTGAACTTCATAGAAGTAGTCACAAACTTGAAATAGTGCACTGACATAATCTCACACCTAACACAAATGCCTATGTAAAAGTGAGCTATGATTCCATTTGCATTCAAAACATGAAAGTAATCACAATTTTCATCACTTGTACAGAAATTTGAATGGTTACATATTATTCTGAATGATTGTTTAGACAACAGAGAGCATCGCTCAAGTTTTAATTGCATTAATCAACAAGTAATAAATTCAAATGAACGTGATTGAGACTACTTACGTTTGCCATAGAAATACATACACTGTAAACACTTCACAACACTTTCACTATGTGTAGTTGTGATTGCTTGTTCTAAGCTTCTAATTAATCCTTATTAACGGAGCCTCATTATTAAGATTTCGATAATGTTTACATTCATACTTTGTAGTTAGAAATAGGAGGTGATGCAATCAGACATATGCTTTATATCAATCGGTTGGAAAAGCGGAGCTTTATGACATATTGTAAAATTATAACATGAATAGGGGCTTACAATCATATTTTTAATCGTATTTATAAACCGATGATGATTTCAATAAACTGATAAACGTCAAAGAATAATTGCAGCCTCTGGCGGTAAAACATCGCAATCTGTAAACATAAAAAACTACTAGATTCATACGATTTTAATGGCTATAGTCCGGTCCGTTAGACAATGGAATATAGAAATTTTGAATCTTTTCGAAAATGTTGATTTTCACGCGTAAAAAAGGACAATGGTATTCGGCGTGATCCTATATTCGATGAAGCGACCGACATAAAGCCGAAAATAGCACGTTTCGGACGTTCCGCTCGCACGCGCTCACTTTCGTAATACGATCGTATCTACAATACCCCGCCTAACAGGAATCCGGGGATCTGGAGCGGAAATTCAAAATTGAAACGTCAAACTAAAAATGTGTACATATCTTTGAATTTTGTAATCAGCCGTGTTTAAAAAATGCGATCGGGTAACGTGTCGTATGTCGGTTTAATCAGGAGACTTTGGTCTTTCGTTTTGCGAAAAAAAATCGTAGCCATGTCGCTCCGTAACGCAGGTCCGTATCGACGAAGACAAGTACGCCGAAAAACGGTTGTCATCGGTACTTTTGAGGCGCTCAAAGTTTACTTTTTCGAATTTTACGGTAATTCTGACGGTCAGAATCGTTTCGTCAGCTCATTATCGTTATTTTTCGATAGCTGTATAATTTTTACTCGCTCACGTACGGTAGTAATAGGCGAAGACAGAGCCGGATGACAAAATAACTTTTCCACGCATCGAAATGTAGCGTGTTGTCGGGCAATTTTTGAAAAATCGAAACTTTCGAACGACAAGGGATAAAGGAAAAACAAAGACGCTATCTTTGTGTCCGATGTCCGGGCTTTCTCACGCAAAAATCGTCAGGTTCGTAGCTCCTTTATCTTCGGAGGAGATGTCTGATCGACGGCGAAGCAGCGTGCTTTATACGCAAAAAGTCATTCTTGACGACGTTCGAGGTTCGTTTATTCGAAACGGGTACCGTAAACGAAAAAACGTCTCTCCGCGTAATTTGTAGCGCTCGCCGAGATGTACGAAACGCGGCGCGCGAAATTCCTTTTCTCTTCGGCATAAGGGAGATATCGTAGTTTTCCGGGCGATTCGTCATTTTTGTCGCTTTTTTTTCGAACATTCCTAGAAAAAAAACCGAGACGCGGAACCGAACGGATTCAGCTGATAGGCACGTATTTCTCGTTTAGCTATCGAACGAGACCGATCTCGAGTCGATATTTCGATAAACGGCGAAACGAGTGTGAAATAACGCCGCGTACCGCCCGACAAACGGTCGATTTTTCGACTTTACCGGCCGTTTTCGATCCGATCCGTTCCTCTCACCGCGACGGTTCCCGCTCCCCGGTAAAGCGTCGAGTTTCTACTTTCCGAAAAGGTACCTCTTTCCTTGCGAACGTTTCGCGAACCGGGAAAAAAACCGGAAAAACCGCGTCGACGTCGCACGGCCTGAATCTCTAGCGTCACGTGGCCTTCTACGAAAAACAATCGACCACCGCTTAATATAGTCGACTAGCGCGGTTGCTGGCATGCTAACGCTATGCAAAATATTGTATGTTGATGTCTTTATTTAAAACCTCACGTAGCGCAGTTGCTGGTATGCTAATGCAATGTTAATGATATACTTTATCCCTATCTCTAATCATTATCTATCCTTTATCACCTTTGATCTGTTATCTGTTATCTGGTACCTGGTATCTGACATCTGACATTATCTGTTGTGAGTTGTCAGTTAACATGGCGTTATAAAATCTTCCATATAGCATTAAAAATACCATCTATAAAATTTTATAACATACTCAGATTTATGTGCGGAGCCGGCAACGTCGCATCTGTCGTTAATAACACAGATGGCGTTATAAAATCTTGCATACAGTATTAATGTCCTCTATAAAATTGTATAATAAGCTCAGATTTAACGTTGCTTATATATCTGGCAATCACGTGACGTGCCAAAAAAATAGCGCTTGACTGCCATAAATAGAGATGATATTAGCAGCGACTTGGAAGTCGCCGGGATATCGGTGACAGCGACCTTAAAGTCGCCGGTAGATTTAGCAGCGCTTTAGGTCACTGCTTATCTATGGTCGCTGCCAGCAGCCAGCGACTCCCTGGCGCTGATTACATTACTCGATATTTGGCGGCGGTTATCCATTGATATAACGAGGTGTAGATGTTCAGGTTCCTGAAGATTTGAATTAAACTATATTTAAGGTTTTTGTTTTTAACAATATTGAGCACAAAACACATAAAATCATAAAAATACATAAAATATCTTTCTATGAATCTTAAAAAGGAAAACAAAATACTGTTTTACCAGTCAAAATAAAACTTTTAAAACATAACAAATGTAGTATAAAAATGCTTCTTTTATATGTTAAACATTGCTTAATAAACGAAACATTTTTCTATGAAACAGGAACTCACAACAATAACAATAAAAACTAACAAAATAGGTTAGGCTACGCCGTAGCGACCCTGTACTTCCCGCGCGATGATCGCGAACGTGATGTGTATATGCTTCCTGGCAGCGACCGCGACCGAAACAGCGTTACAGCTACCGATCAGTGGTTACCGATACTTCCAAACAGCGATCTGGGTCGCTGCTTCATGGAGAATCAGGTCGCCGGGACTAACGGCGACCATTGAAGTCACCGGGAAAGGTCGCCGGTACCGATATATCGATCATCTCTAGCCATAAATCAATCGTGTTCGCCTATGGACAGCACGGGACTGTTCCTTTTTCAGTGTAAATGTTTTTTGTTTTGTGATGTTAAGTCAATGTCATAGGTTTTTCTAACCTAGAAAATACAACATAATGAAAAGAAAAATTATGTTTCTGAAAGTTAATTCCCAAATGTCATTATATGAAAAGTATTGGGATTAAATCAAATCATTGTCATGCTATTTTTTCAAAAAACACTGGATAACATTATCCGTATCTACGTACATGGAGGATCTGAAAACAACTGTAATCATGTGATATTCACCACAACCAAATATGTTCCATTCTTTTATAATTTCTTAGAACATCAATATTTCTTTGTGCTAATATGCTTTAGGTTGAAAACAAAGCTGTTGCGGATCCATGTTCATATGGAATTTCGTTATCAAATTGACCAAGGATTCGATGGTTAAAGTATGTCTACATATATATTATAACACCCATCATATGTGAACAATATAGATTTTAATAGTAGTTATATTAAAGCATTATTAACAGTTATTCAACATAAAAAATTATACTGGTGCACATAGCGAAGGTTATGTAATATAAAAAAATTGCTGTTCTAACTTGTCCCCAAGTTATAACTGCAAAAATGTAGAAAAGACCTCCATGCTTTACATATTCAGTTGGAAATATACAGAGTATATAATATTTTTTAATATCAAATTTCGTAATATGAGGGGTATCTTTGTTGATAACACTGGTCTTTTTCATATAACACATTAGAAAGGTATGACTTCTTTTGAAAGATTCAGCATGGAATTTGCCTTACTTTTCTTGCACAAAATTATCAATGGGCACATTGATTGCCCCCAACCATTAAAATCACCCTGTAGTTCTCTGATTTTTCAGAAAGCTATGTTATAAAGATGTACCCTTATCGATGAGAAAAAGATTTCATACACTGCTCAAAGTTTGACCTTGGCTTTTATTAATTGTCATTGCAAAAGCCAAACGTACAGGTAATTGTCTCCTTTTCAAGTTGACTGGTAGATCAAGAGAGTTTAGAGCGATGTTGTCAACTCTGGAAATTAATTCGATCGAAGGTTCATTATTAGGGTCTTCTACTCGTTTTGCTTCTATAAAATTTTCGTGTAAATTATGAATCAATAAGCGTGTGCCGTTACATAAACCTCTCTTTAGATCTAAATTCTTCGTTAAAATGATAACTGCACCAATCTTTAGTGTAAGAATGTGGGGAGGAAGTCTTGGAGCATCCAAAGAATTTAAAAAGTCTTGTGGACATGCGGAATCTAAATCATCAGCAGCATTTTCAGTTGTATCGTCTTCTCGGATAATACTATCAACACTATATATTGTCGTGATCTGCCTGGCAGTTTTTCTAAAACAACTGCATTGATATCCTTCACATGAATGTTTAACGGAGACAAAATCGCTTTTTGTAATAGTGTGGAATCGTGTTCAATTAAATTGCTACCGTAAATGCTTTCAGTAACATTTTCTACAATAATATGGTTAGGAACTTTGACTATAGTATCTCTGCCATTTTCTAAGTGACGTAAAATTTCGGAATTATTTCCTATGGTCATGAGCCAATCTTTGAATTCGTTTTGCTGTGGCAGTGCTCTAACGTTCGTAAGAAGATCGTACTTAACAAAGTGTTGCCATAGTTGGGAACATTTCACTGATGCAGAAATAGTTTCATTTTTGCCGGCCAATGGAACGATAGGTGCGCAATGCCTGAAATCGCCTAGAATTATAATAATCTTGCCGCCAAGTGGAATGTCATTGTTCATTATTTCTCTTATCTTCCTACCTATTTCATTAAATATACTTTTATGTACCATCGATATTTCATCAATGACAATAATTTTTGAATATCTAATATTATCAGCAATCGCACTCTCTGATTGCGAATCCTTGACGTTGAATTTTCTAGAAATGGAACCGGTAACATAAAAGCAGGATGAATCGTTTGGCCATTTTTCAGTAAGCTGGCTGGGATACCTGTATAACAGATAGCAATGTAACGGTGATTATTTCCTAGTAGGTAAGTCAGTAGTGTATTCAATAGAAATGTTTTTCCTGCACCTCCAATTCCCTTAATAAAGAAAAGACGATGTGAAACTCTTTCATTTTCGTTTACGGCTAAAAGTATATCGGTAAAAATACGTCGTTGCTCTTGGTTTAAAAGGGGAATGTTCCTATTAGCAATTTCTTGTTCTTCTGATTGATCATAATCGTATTCATCTTCGATTAGGTGTTCTACTGGTTCAGTGGGTAAGAGCAGTTGAAAGTCTCTGTTTGATTTGCCTAAAAATAAAAATGTAATAAGTAGTTGTATAAACATTTTATAATTATATTGAGTAATTACTTATCATAATATAGTTTTAATATACTAAGTGACATATAAATCCGAACACCCAGTTTAAATGGTTTTATTTTAATAAAAGTTGGTGAATGTATTTATCTTACTGTAAATAACAAGTGATCAGTTGGACATTCTGGTTTTTATACTGCTTTTTTTTAATTCACTAACGCTCTAAAAATGAATATTTCAGCCGCAGTAAAGAATCAACGTTGGCGGATTTTGGTTCTTGACATCCTTTACGATCGGTTACGATGCCTAGAGTACGGAGACCTGTACGATTTCGTCAACTTAGTGAGTTTGATAGGGGCCGTATAGTGGGACTTCGGGAAGCTGGACTTTCTTTTCGGGCAATTGCAGTTAGAGTGCAAAGAAGTGTAGACACTGTAGTTAGGTGTTGTCAGGCATGGCTTCGAGAACAACAGACCGTGAAGATCGCCGCCTAAGATAATTGGCCTTAAGGGACCGTTTCTCCACTACCAGGTCCATTGCAAATGAATGGTTTGCAGAACACGGAAGACCTATTGGCATGCGAAGTGTTTACCGACGAATGAGAAGTTTTGGCTTGTTTTCATACCGGCCCACTGGGTCCTCCCTTTAACTCGAAAACACCGACGTAATCGCCTTGAGTGGTGTAGACAACGGTCACTCTGGGATCAGGAATGGAACAGCATTGTCTTTAGTGACGAGTCTCGATTTTGTTTAGGCATGCACGATGGTCGTGCCAGGGTTAGATGGCGACGTGGTGAAAGGAGGAATCCACAGTTTTTTGTTGAAAGACATGTTCATCACACTGTTGGAGTTATGGTTTGGGGTGCTATAGCTTATGGTTCCAGGTCACCTTTAATCTTCATCAGAGGTAACATGAACGCGCAGCGTTATATCCACGAAGTTCTAGAACCCCATCTTTTACCCTATCTTGACACCCTGGCAAGTCCAACTTTCCAACAAGATAATGCCCGACCACAAGTTGCAAGAGTCACAATAGACTTCTTTCAACATAATGATGTCACATTGTTACCATGGCCACCAAGATCTCCCGACTTATCCCCAATTGAGCACGTGTGGGATATGATGGGTAGGAGATTGCTCAATTTGCAACGTCCTCCTCAGACTCTAGAAGCACTTCGAGAGGAGTTGGTGGTTGCCTGGAATGAGATACCACAGGAAGACATTGACCACCTGATCGGAAGCATGCCTAGGCGCGTTGGAGAATGCGTAGCACATCAGGGTGCATCCACATATTATTAAAGGTCAAAGGGCTTTAAAGCAGTGCAATCATTTTGAAATTTTTATCATTTACTTATTATGCTTCATTAAGTACTTATACAAAATTTTATTAAAATAAAACCATTTAAACTGGGTGTTCGGATTTATATGTCACTTAGTATATAATTTTGTATTCATCTGAAATTGATTGGAACATAAATGCTTATGTTGTGTTAAATTAATAGCGATAAATATATTAAATATTGAATTCATATTACATCACAGTACTGTTACATATAAAGTGATTAAATTCAAAAATTTTCTAATACGAAAATAAATGATTTCAATATGCTTAAAAAATGTGAAATAAAAAAAGTATTTGAAAACATAAGTATCAATTTTAAATGAATTAATAAAAGTAATTATTGATAGAAATATTAAC